GGACTGATTTTTGGTTTTTTCAGGCTCAGAACTCTCTGTGTGAAGAAGAGAAAATAAAAATCTATTGCGTGTTGAATTGCGACAAGTTATCACCGGATTCTTTGATACATTTATCCCATAATGAAAATTTTCCAGCAACGGTGAAGAAATGTAGGAAAAAGTAAATGAAAGCAGCAAATGCTAAGAAATTTGATGTAAACTTCCCAAACAATGGCAGATCATTGAAAAATGGAAGAAAAAGAGATTCATGTCCCTAACACCAAATTCCAGTTCTTCCAGTTTTTCGAAGCAAGAAGCCAATTCTTCCAGCATTTTTTATTGGGAAAATTGCAACAGCGGTGGGGTGGGGGTGGGGTTGGGAGTAGTAGAAGATGAATAGTTGTTTCTTTTATTTTTATTTGGTATATTAATTTATTTGTTTTATTATAGAATTAAATAGCAAATTTACCTTTCTACCATTTTAAGTTGGTCAAAATTCAATTTTATTGGTCAACTAACGGTCAAACGGACGGTTTCCATCCATTTGAATTCCCGGTGCATATTTTTGAAAGGTTTGGGACTGTGGCTGGCACTAAAGGTTTGTGCAAAATCTGCTAATAAACGAAAGATTTGGTACCTCGGCTGTAATTTTTCCTAAAAAATTTGACAGTGAAAAATCAGATAGAAAGTTTCAATGGAATCTCTAAGGTTAGCCAGAAATTTGCATTGGTGTATGGTTTCAACTAACCTAATGACAGGATGCCACATGTACATTATGTAACCCTTGATATAATTCTTAATATACAAATAGAATAATCCTTTAATAATTAGTGAAAAAATGTAAAATTTATTATTTTATCATTTTTAAAATTGGTAAAAAATATGGATTTTACTAGTGTAAATTGGGGCTGACACCCGTGAACTCTCTTATTGTGAGGGGGCTGTACACCTACGCATCAACCCCACGTACAAATAACAAAACCCCAAAAATATTGACAGAATTAACTTTCAAGAGATCCTTTTTTCGCACGGACTTGAAAGATTTGGAAACAATGCAGCTATAAATGAAATATTAGGATAAAAATCATAATTTAAAATTTCGGGACCTGCAACTGCAATTATCATTTAATTTGTTCTGATCCCTCGACAATCCAAATAGATTTGACGCGACCCCTGAAGGTAGGTGTCCCACAAAAAGAGACTTTCGGTCACGAATTAAATGCGATCTGACGGTTGCCACCCAAGTGTCTCATTTGGCATCTCCTATCATTCAAGTGGGCCCATTGATAGAGAGCCCAATTATAGGTCCACTTTATAATATTTTCATGTCAACCCCTCAGTATTATGGTTGGTGAGAAATTATACTTTATATTATAGAAAAACTATAATTTTGAAAAATATTCTCTCTATATATAAATACTATACATTATTGTCTAATTCATCATACTAAATATATATCATTAATGTTAATTGTGTTTAAATTATCTCGTACCTCATCTCCAACTTTCTTCAAATCTATTAAAAACAAAATCAATAGATTAATAGTGAATGAATTTAGGTTAACGAGGCTCGATCCTTCCCACGTTCCCTTTCATTCACCCACCAACATTTCACTTCACCTAATTAATAAATAGTGTGGGGACATGCAAATTATTGTCAACATATATAAAGCTTTGCGACCCACCAACTATGATATTATCAACATAAATAAAAGTTCACGTACATAGGCTCTATTTGATAGAGTTTTTTTTTTTAAATTTTATTTTCAACATTATATTATCTTAGAATTCGTTTGATTGTAAGAATGAAATTTGGATGGAAAGAAAACGAATTTTAGGGAACTGAATTGTCTAGAATTTATTTTACTGATAATTGTCAATTAAATGTGTTTGATTGGCATAATTTTTCATCTGAAAAATGTGAGAGAGAGCTGAAAAATCAATTTTCACCAAAACCAAAAGAAAACCAATTCCTTCAAAACATGGAAAAGGGGTCATGTGGGGGACTATATGGAAAACCAACTTCATGAAAAATTTTGCCTATCAAACACAACATTTGGATTTCATGGAATTTGGAGCATACCAAACACGCTAAAACAATTTTATAAATGAACATATTTCCTTACTTTTTAATCACATGTTCATTAAAGAAATAACTTTTTCATAAATTTTATTATTAAAAATCTGCATCAAACTAACCCTTAATTAATTAATTATTAACTATTTACGTAAATTTATAAAAATTGTATATCAAATTTTTGATGTAGTTCGATTGCAAAAAAATTATTTTCTGGAGTGCATGGATCTTTAATCTATTGTAGCCCATGTCTCTATTAAAAAGAATTTTTTTTTTTAAAAAAAAAATGAGTTTTAGAAAAGTTATTTTTTGAAAATTGATTGTTAAAAAGTAGATTTTTTGTTTTAATTTATGTGTAAAATATTTTATCGTGAGAATGTATGATTAAAATAAATTTAAGAAAAAAGAACTTTTAAAGAATAATAAATAAATATGGGCTTAATAATATAAAATTATTAAAACACATGATAGTCACAAAATTATTTTGCTTTCTCCAATTAATCACGAATAATTCTTCTCAAACAAGGTACAATACGACTGATTAATCACACTTGGTGCACAGGGCCACATAGGCCCTGTAATTACATTTGATTTTATTGTTGGGCAAATTATTTAGAAATCTACATTGGAAAACTAATTTCATAAATAAGGGGAATTAGTTTTTCATAAATCAAGTGTTAATTAAGAATTATTAATTTAATTAATACAAATTTATTGGCACCCCCAAATTCATTTCTATCCCTCATTTTTCTTGCTCCTTACACATTTCCACCCACTCCTCGAACCCTAATCCATTTTATCTTATCATCTCTCTGTCACACAATAGTCAGAAGACAATGATTGGAGACCACCATAGTGGCGAGTGCAGGCTATGACGATGACGTCGCTGCGGTGGCGTGAGCGCCTTTGCACCTACTGTGCGGAGTGCGTAGGGGCGATGATGTCGCTGCACGTGGAGTGAGCGCATCTCGGTGATTTGGGAAAAATTTGTTGGGGCGAGATCCGCGGAGAATCTGGAGGCTTGAGTAGTGGTGCACATCCACTTTGATACCAAAAGATCTTTTTTTTTTCTTTTTTTTTCTTAGTTTAATTTCTCCGATGCTACGGAGTCGTAGTTATGGTGATCAATTTTTTTTTCTTTTTGATTTTTGAAGAGGTTTGGGATGGTGATCGCCGCTACACGAATCAGGCAATGGCATCGCGCACGGTGGCGATGGTGCGATGGTGGAGTTTAGATGATGCGATGTGTTGATGTGCTGTGTTGTCGATACGGTGATAGTGTTTGTAGTTGTTGATGGTGGTGGTGATGCAGATACAGGTGGTGGTGGTAATGGTGGGTTTGGATTTGATGTAGAGGTGGTGGTGGAGTTTGTGGTTGTGGATTAAGGTACAAGTGGTGGTGATGATGGTGGCGATGGTGCTCATGACATAAGTACTACTTTGCTGGTGGTGATATATCTAAGGTTGTATGTGACATATCTATTGTTGGATTTTTCACACAGTGGAAGTGGTATGGTGATGGCATTGGTGGTGGTTAGGATTTGTTGAAAGTGACGGTAGTGTGCATTTGATTGACGTTGTTGGAAGTGGTGGTAATGACGACGAAAATCGAGTATGACCAAGCCTATTTTCATTGTAACTGTTTGTGACTAGATCTATAATAACTGTGATTGCATGTGACTTGATTACATATAGTCACAAATTAGATTGACATTGTCACAGATAGTCACATTGAAGCTAAAATTGGTTACAAATAGTCACAGATAACAAAGGTCAATGAATGTAATAAAGTTGGAAGTGAAGGTGGTGGTAACTGATGGTGGATTGTGGTTACTGGGCTACAGCGCGTGAATATTTGTTTATGGTGACTCTTTGAGGTTAAGTATTTGTTTGTTGTGATAGTTGTGACTAATTCTATATTAACTGTGATCGATTATGACTTAATCACATACCACCACTGTAAATATTAAATTGGTCACAGACAGTCACACTGAATACAAATTTGGTTACAATTAGTCACAGACAACACATGTCAGTGACGCACTGTCTTGGTCACAAACGGTTTGGTCATAGTTAGTCACATATAATACGGTCTAATCACAAACTATAAATCCGTTTACATACAGCACAATTAATCACAAAACTCGTCAACTACAATATAACACTACTGTCATCACACAGTATTCGAAACGTTGCTAACACCTCACCACCACTACTACCGAGCAGATTAACTGCAGTGCAATTTCATTACTTCTGATGCATTATATTTGCCATCATACAGATATATTTTTTAAAGCACAGTACCACCTCACCATCACCACCATCTGTAAAAAAAAATTGTGTTTGAAAATGTGTATAGAGAGAGAAGGAGATTTTTAATTTTTTTGAGTTGCTGGAGCGATCATCAGAACGGCCGTCGAAGTGATCATCAGAATGATTGTTGGAGCCAATAGTCATCTCCGGTGGAGAGGTAGAGTGTAGGTAGTATAGTGGGATAATAGGATGGAATGTGTGAGGTGGCATGAGTGAAAATAATTAATGTATATTGTATTATATTTTAATATTTAATAAATTTATTTACCACTTGATTTTTAAAATATTTTAAGTAGCTTGTTATATATGAAATGTGATCTTTATAGTTAAGGGTTATGTTAAGATCCTTTATTGTTAAGTAAAAGGCCCCTCCTATATATACAGGGCCCTATGCAAGTAGCAGGGCCCGTTTCCCAATTGACCCTAACGTACGTGTAGATGGATTGTCTGCATTTAAAAGTTGATTAATAATGACAAATGGTACCATTTTAAATTACAGGTAAGTACTTCTTAACAACAATGATTGACCTTATATTTATTTTTCTTTTTAACTTTTTCTTCTGTCACTTTAGCGCTTTCTACGAAATATCATTCTAGGTATGGTGTCTTATTCTCCATTTTAATTTTAATTTCAATTTTTCTCTTTCGTTGATCTTGACTTTAGAATCAAAATTGGTGGGACAAAAATTTCCTTTCGTTCTTACAGTATTTTCCATTAAAACACCAATCACTACAGTAAGTCTTCTACTTCCGAGTTCAACACCCACAGAAGGTAGAAAAATTTTGGTTGTGTTGTAGCAATTTCTTTCGAAGAAAACTACAAAAGACGTGTACTATTTGCTTTAAACCGTTCAAATGTGAAGAATATTTCCAAAAGGGATTTTGAGGTAAGAGAGAGACGGGGGAGTGGAGGTGAGTTGCCTTTCTTGAATCTTGACCTCTTTAACTTTCTCTTTATTCAGAGTAAAAGTGGAATCTTTAATTAGCATTCTTGCTCTTGCCTGTTGCTGTTGTTCTTGTTTTAACTAACAGTTCAATTATATGTATGCATCAAGTATATCCAATTAAAAGTTGAACTTGTGATTCTTCACCAGCAAAATTTACATTCTGTTAAGAAGAAAAAATGGGTGTGGTTCCAGAAGAAGCCATTAATCAGTTTGAAGCCTTAATGAAGGAAGGTCTGCATTTATTCTTAATTTTACCAAAGAAAAAATACCTTTTCTTAATTTCTCTGGCTTTATGTTTGTGACCATTTTTATTTGGGATATTTATGCAGTTGAAGAGCCACTCAAGGGAACTTTCAAGGTTTACATTGTCGTCTTTTCTCTTTAATTATTTGTTTACTGATTTTAAGTATTTTTCTCTGCCTGATCTTCTCCTTAACAGTGATCAGAATATTCAAAAACTACTTTTATTTTATTTTTGTGACTTCAGTTATATGCAAACATGTTATGTATTGTATTTTTATGCTTTTCATTTTTTAAACTGGTAATGGTCATGCTCCCTATCGATTTTTTATTTATACGGTACCTTTCGTGTTGTCTTGGAAATTTTTCTTAATCTTTAATTTTTTATGCAAATAAAGAGCAATTACAAACAAGATTATTTGAGTATTATCCTACTTTCTCAACAATTCCACTTCCAGATCTTGTTGCCACGGTTCCTTGTACTGCCCCTATATATGTATGTATCATTTTATTTAAATTTGCTTTCGAAATAATTTCTCCGCCCCTACTTTACAACCTGCAGTTATAATTTTAATTTTTCTACTCTCAATACTTGGGATCTATGTATATCGTCTTACAATTGAAACCCTGTTGGTTGTTTGTATGGAAACTCTTATCAGTTCTTTTATACATTCAGAATATTCATCAAGGATATCCCAGAGAACCTTTAATTCGCTTTTTGAAGGCTAGAGAGGGAAATGTTACTAAGGCTCACAAGATGGTTAGATAAAGATCTTTCTGATTTATATTAGCTTCCGTTATGTGAAATTATGTCATTCACTGAATTCTATTTACGGAAATGTTGATGGTGATGATATTTCAGTTGGTTGATTGTTTGAATTGGAGGGTGCAAAACGACATTGATGATATTTTAGCGGTGAGTGATCATGTACTCAGCTTTCGTGTTATTTTACTATTTATGAAAAAGTTATGCGAACAATTTGATGCTCAGGAATGCCGAGAATCTATCTTCCATTTTCATATTTGTTCGTGTTAGGTGGTGGGGGTGGGGTCTGGAAGTATTAACCAATATTTGCTCTCTGATTCTACCACTATTTCTTGTTGCAGAAACCAATTGTTCCCACTGATTTTTACAGAGCTATACGTGATTCACAGCTTATAGGATTATCGGGTTACTCAAAAGAGGTTCTCCTTGTTGAATTCATTCTGCAATTTATATTTATGTGTTCATACACTCATACCTCATTTGAAGCTTCTGGAACAAGTTCAATTATGGTAGTTTACTCTCTTTTGATATAAAATGTTCATTCTAATAAGTGCCCCCCCCCCCCGAGACGATTACAATTCATCTAGTAACCCCCCCCCCCCCCCCCCCAAAAAACCTTTTCTTCAATAGGGTCTCCCCGTCTTTGCTCATGGAATAGGTCTGAACACATTTGACAAAGCATCTGTAAGTCTTATTGATAATTATCTTATTCTCTTTCAGTTAAAATATCCACTCCAGATTTACTTCTGCATAATTATATATTTGCCATGCACACCTGACGTGGCATCATAAAAAATTATACATGGCCGTAGATGAAATCCCCTGAAGTTCAATTTTGCTGCCTGGACCTCCGTATTCATAGGTTTTTTCCTTTGACACAGGATAATCCATTAAAAGATAGAATCGTGTCCATATTTTTCATTTGTAATTAATTCTTTAATATGTCTGCAATTGATATAACTGTTTCTTAGAAGTTTTAGTAATTCTCAATCTCCAAATGAATTCACCCGTTGATTAGGGGAGAAGAATGTTGCTATTTAACTCAAACCAATTTATAACGAGAGAGGCCAACTGGTGCTATTCGACTGTTGTGAGAGGCACTGCTGTGATATTCTCATATGCCACATGTATTGGGCACTGAAATTTAAAAGGACATTATCTTGTATTTGCTATAGTAGATGGGGGAAATGAAATAGAACTCAACTTAATAACCAACTAGATGTAATATCAACATATACACACAGAAGAATGAAAATCTGGTATTCAGCATCTATAGATAAACTATCTAGAAGACTTGTCTGAAAAATAAACTATTAAATTTTTTTCTTTTGTTGGAAGGGCTTGTCTGGCTTGATATGAAGTGATCAATTAGTTCAAATTTTTTTGTTGGATGGTAATGCATATCGATTTTATTGCCCAAGATAATTTCTTTCCCTCGAAACATTGACCTTTTCACTTGCAAATTAATCATTCCATGATTTTTATTTGCTTAATAACAATTCAACATCTTTCTTCTCTTCAATTTCTTTTTCTTTATTTGCAGGTTCATTATTATGTACAATCCCACATTCAGATCAATGAATATCGGGATCGTGTCATTTTGGTGAGCACATACTTGCTATTCTTTTTTACTTTTTCCTTTTATGTCCATTTTCTGTACTTATAATTTATTCGTTGTAGCCTGCTGCAACCAAAAAGTATGGGAAGCACATTAGCAAATGTATAAAGATTCTAGATATGACTGGTCTGAAGCTTTCATCATTAAGCCAAATAAAGGTACACTGGCAGCAAGTTGTTCTATATCTTTCTGCCCATGATTTCTTCTTCACTTGTTCCATGTGTTGTATAATTTCTTAGCTTTGATGCTAAGTTTCTGTTTTGTTGCAGCTCTTAACTATTATTTCTTCCATCGATGACCTAAACTACCCGGAGAAAACAGTTACTTATTACATTGTCAACGCCCCATATATCTTCTCCGCTTGTTGGAAGGTTTATCCCTCGTTATTGTCTTTATCTGCATTCAAATATCTTATTTTCACAATGCAGTCGAAGTTTATGGCTTATAGATATCTTTTCAAATTTAGTTAGAAGTAAATGTATTTTAGATTTTATTATATTAAAATTAAATACCGTTGTTCATTTGTAAAATTTACAACTGAGCTGTTATCAGGTTGTCAAGCCCCTTCTGCAGGAGAGAACAAAAAGAAAAATCAATGTATTATCTGGTTGTGGACAGGATGATCTATTGAAGGTAGTGCTTTCTTTTAATTTGCAATAGTAGATGTCTGGAATAGGAACCATTATCCCATAATTGGTATGGGGGATTGGATAAAATTGATGCTATTAATAAAGGAAAAAGAAGCTAAAGTCTTGTTCATCATACTGTCCGGTCTTGTTATTATTGTAACCAAACAAGCACTTGAAATGACTCCCTATTAAGGAACCGGCTTATGTTATAGTCCCACTAGGAAAACTTTACGCTGCCTGCTACTTCTCCACACTTTTCATGTTTGTAACTGTGAGGTCTTTAACCGTCTTTTGGCAAGATCTTTATCATTGTTGCATGTTTGGTGCAGATAATGGATTATTCATCCCTTCCCCATTTCTGCCGTAAAAGAAGTTCCGGCTCTTCAGAACATTCAGACAGCTATCTTGTTAATTGCTATTCCTTGGACCACCCCTTTCACCAACAACTTTACAATTATATTAAGCAGCAATCTCTGATTCGTGAAACTGTCAAGCCGAGAAAACAGGGATCGGTGCACGTGACTTTGCCTGAGGATGCAGTTGAAGGGGTAGAGATTGCAAAGACTCTAGAATCTGAATTAGAGAATTTTAAGAACCTCGATGCATGTTGTGACTCAGTGAAGGACCTGAGAATTGATAATGGTAAGTCATAGAAGATCTATTTATCTTGTGTTAGTAGGTGCTAAATCACATCCGACAAAGATCTCTTGTTCTTAACACTAACCATTATAGTAATCTAGTTTAAATGTATCTTGTGGATCTTTTGTGGATGAACTGCCTCATATGATGTATGTAATTTACATGTCAGCTAAATCTTTTTTGTGATAAGTTTAAATGATTGTAAACATATCATTGTCATTCTATCTGTAGTTCACGATGGATACTGTTGTTCTGTTTTTCTTTTCTGTTAAACGATTAATCTATTCTAACATTGAATAAATAAAAGAAAAAAAAATCATTCTTTACAGAGCCTTTCTGGATGTCTTGAATTTGCGAACCATCTATCTAGAATACAGAATGTTTATTGGTAAAATTTTTTGTATGCAAAAAATGTAAGGAACTCATCTTGATATTCATTCTGGTTTGCTTAAAATTCCCAGAATGATCACTTTATTTCTCTTGAGAAATTTAAGTTTCTCCAACTTCACTCTGTTCTTTTTGGTGCCACTTCTGGAGTTCACCCTCCACTACCTTTTTTGCAGCTTCTGCCATTTCTGCTCTCTTTAGAGCATCCTCAATTTCTGACTGTAGATCTTCATTCTCTTTTAAAGTTGTCTCCACTTTCTCTAGCAATTCTTTTTCACTTGCATTTATAGTTTCCACTTGAGCCATTGCAGTTGCCACTTTAACATCTGCCTCATGCCCGATTTCTTCAATTTTCTTCTTCAGTGATTCAAATTCCTCCAATGACAATTTGATCCTCCTACCAGAGCCTCCACTGGAATCAGGTTTTGGTGAGCTATGAATTTGATCATCTGCTAGTCTCTCTGCAGCCTTAGCCTTTTCTGCCTCTTTTAATGCAATTTGCAGTTTTTCCTCTGCTTCCTTGGTTGCAATTCGTGCTTCTTCAGCTTCTTGCTCAAGTGCTTCAGCTTTTTTCTTCAGTACTTCTACTTCCAGCCGAGTATTTTCAGCTTCTGTCAATAGCTTCTCAAGAGCCAAATGTGTATCATCAGATTTGGTTCCACCTGAAATTGCTGCTTCCATTTCAGTTTTGCTCTTTGCAAGATCAGCTTGCATGCTCTCAGCAGCCGATTCTGTTTCAACTGCCTTCTTCTCTGATTCTGAATGCTCCCTCTTCACATTCTCCAGTTCCAGTTTAATTGATTCCACAGAACGTTGTAATGAATTTTCTTCTGCTACAACTTCTTGCGGTGCCCTTTTAGCATCATCAAGATCAGAAGCTATAGTTCTTAAAGAAGTCAAATCCGAAGCCTTTACATCATTCAGCTGTTCTTGCAGAACCTTGATCGCCTCTGTTGTCTCTTCGAGCTTCTCCTCAAGATTTTCACTAAGCTTGGGATCATTTTCTGCCTTCAAACACATAACCTTCCCGTCAACTTCTTCCTTAGCTATTTTATGGTTTAATAGACGGGCTTCCTTTTCTGCAATGAGCTTCGAATGTTGTTCTTGAGCCTGGATCGAGGCCAGCTTTACTTGACCAATTGTTTCATGCAAGGAGGTAACTTCTTTTGAAAGCTGACTTAACCTCTCTTGATTAACTTTAGCTGCATGTTGGGCTGCTGCTGCTTCTTGAAATGCAGTCAATTTTGCTTCCAATGCTGCATCAAAATCCTGCCTTAGATTTGTAAGTTCTTGTTTTGTAGAAATAAGTTCACTTGCAGTGGCCTTGTATAGTTCTCTTTCACTGTCAACATCTAGCCTCCATGCATCATCACCTAGTTGAGCCTTTATCGACTTCTGCTCTTCAAGTTCTTCAGCTCGTTTTTTCGCAGCTTCTGTAGCTTCAAAAGCTGCTTGTTTGGATTCACTAAGGTTTTCAAGCTTGTTTGTTAGTTCTTGCAGGGTTCTATTTGCCCACTTCAAATCGCTTAAAGCTTGAGCCTTCGCAATTTCTGCGCTTCTAAGTTGTTCCCTGTAATACTCGAGTTCTTTAAGGGTCAAATGATGTTGCGTCTCCTTCTCTAGCACTCTCTGCAGCACAAAAGTTTTTAAGTAATAACAAGTTCTAGACAAGAATCAGTGGCAAACTGTCATTTGACAATTTAAAAAAAAACGAAAAGAAAAGGGACAGGTCTCCTCCAAGTCTTTTTTTAAACATGCGCTTGGGGAGAGCAATATAGGATTATTGCGTTCTACCTCTTCGAGAGTCTGTGTCTTCTTCGAGACGGGCGTTGTTTTGGGCGAGGCTCCAGCGTCGCCAAATAAGCTTACAGCAGCCTTGACAGATTGAAATGGTGCTCTAGTGTCGATCTCTCCAACATCTTGTTTAGGAGAACTTAACGACCGAGGAGTTCCTATAGATGTTGGAGAACTAACAGAGCCTAGAGAACCCAGAGACCTTGGAGAACCCGAGCCAGTCTGACCTGTTATTACACTAAAACCGAACATTGTGCGGTTCCCTCCACAGCCTGCAAAACCCGTAAAAATTTCAACCATAACCTTCCTACTTACAACATTTCCTCCAGATATTAGACCAAACTGTAAGTAACTTGCTTTCAAATTTAACATTCAAATAATGATGCAATTCTCGTTTCATTTTGACAGAAGTCGACCTACCTGGGAATCGTCGAATAACATTGTGCGGTTCCCTCCACAGCCTGCAAAACCCGTAAAAATTTCAACCATAACCTTCCTACTTACAACATTTCCTCCAGATATTAGACCAAACTGTAAGTAACTTGCTTTCAAATTTAACATTCAAATAATGATGCAATTCTCGTTTCATTTTGACAGAAGTCGACCTACTTGGGAATCGTCAAAACCAAAATGAGTATGGACATTGAGATCAATTTTTTTTTTAAAAAATAAATTAAAAAAAAAAACCCATTTATTCATTATAGATTTTGGAAAAGACGTAAATTTGCCCATTCTTGGCAATTCCACAAATTATAAGCAAATACAAAAGTATGTTCAAATTAGAAATAGGATTAAAGAAGAAATCAAATTACGTTACCTCAAAATTGTTCACTTTCCTTATTTTTTCGTATTGGATTCAAACAGCAGGCATCAAATGTATGATTTAGCAGAAAAATATGGTAATGGAATCATTGCTCATTTTGTTCTCCGAAAACCCTTTAATTTGTTGGATGTAAAAATTCCAAAAACTGTGTTTTTCATTTTCTTGAAACTGAGAAAGAGAATGTAAAGTAAAATCCATATGTTATGCAACCATACAAATGCAAGTAAAATAAAGGGTCTTGTAAATGGATCATTGCTCTGAAAATAACTTCCCTCATTTTTCTCCTAACCATTGGACAAATTATTAGAGCAAAGGCCTATTTTTCCCGAATTTCGTGCTCTCCTCTAGCCAGTTAAGCAGTTTTTTAAAAAATCAAATAATAATAAACCCATTTCTAATAATCATTTCCACAAAAGTAGCGATCTTTTTGCCACCTCCAACAATTTTTCTGGAGTTTACAGCAATTTTACATGAAATGATAGCAATACAACCTACAAACCTTGGGTTTAAATTCTATCTTAGCAGCTAATGATTTAAACCCTGGAGCTTCAACAATCATAACATAACTACTAACAGTGCTAATGGTTAAACGGGGTAAAGATCTGGTGCATGATACTGCGCCTTTCATAAAGATTTCCACGTAATTTCGGAGAATCCTTGATTCTATAAGCAAATCCACTTTATTTTGGGGGAGAAACAGGAGGAAGCTTGATCAATTTGATCTTCAATTCTATCTCCCCAGACTCCACATCACAAAGCCTCAACCAAACATTTTGAACCACCTCGCCATTTTCCCAATTTATAGAACTCTCAACAGAAAGACAGTTGTCGCTATCTGGGATAACCTTCCTCAGTGTCGTTCCATCAGTTGCCACCCCAAGGATCTGCCTCAATCTGGCAGCAGCAGCTAGCGGTTGAAGGTTGATATGAGCATGTCCCATCTTGTCATCCGCCTTGAAACGGTCTTTATCGAACACTTCCTATAAAATTGCAGTATCAACTTCATTTCATTTAGTGTAGTATAAATGTTTATCGTTAAGCACAATTAAAAAAAAAAAAAGAATTATTTCCTATTTTACTAACACATTTTAGATTCTTTACATTGATGAGTAAAACTTTTATGTTCCCTGATATTCTCTTTAATGGAACCATTTCAATCTCCTTTTACTAAAAAAGGTGTTTATTCCTACTAAAATACCGTTTTCTGAGATAATAGGATGGAATTTTTCAAGGATCTTGAACAAAAGTCAGGGCTTGTGGAAGTTAAACATCCACGATGAAGAGTTAATGTAATAAGAACATATATTAGAATTAAACTGCAAATTTCTGGTTTCTCCCATAAATTATGAAATCGGGACAAAAGTTCTAGCAAGTAAAAATACCAAGAACTATAGATAACCGTTAAAGCAGGATTGAAGATTGAAGTACCAGAAACATACCAATTTGAGAACCCCAAAAGGTTCTGAAAGAGAGAAACTAAATTCTTCATTCCAGTTAGGATTAAGGCAGCTGTTTATAACCTTGGTCTTTGCTGTCTGGAGACAAAAGAAAAGTTATAAAGCTCGACGTTTTACAAATCAAACAAAATCTAAGAAATCATATAAATATACAACTCGATAGTATCATACGATGACAATGAAACTCATATAGAGTTGAGATCGCCCATATATACACACTCAAATATTGAAATTTTTCTTGAAAGAAATATATTACAGCTGTTCGTGAATAACCTGTGTTGTAATAATTATGGTTCCGTCTAAGTAGATATGCAATATTACTTTGGAAACATCATGATATATTAGTCATTGCCAAACCAACATATGCACGGAAAGAAGAAAATGGATAGAGATCCTACTGCACTTACAATAATGAAGCAAACATAACCGTAAATCATGGAGAGTGAACGATGAACTTATAAAGTATAAAGGAACAAAATGATAGTACTTATAAACCCAAAGAAAAGAACCATACAGAACAAGAAAATATATCAACCTGGTCACCAAGCTTGAGGATAACATAAGGGTCACTGGTCTTGAAGTCCCGGATAACCAATCTGTATCCTTGTATAACATTTACTTTTATCTGCCCCAATTCTTCTTCCATGTCCCAGTACTAGAAAATAACTTGGTAATAAGACCAAAACTGCAATTTACAGAAATGCAATACAGATCGAGCAAAAGAAAATATAATCCTTTTTCACTTTTGAAATTATTCTGAAGATCATATTTCAGACAATAAAACTAGCAAAAAATTCGATCGAACTACACAGTAAAACAAGTATTACGATACAAGAAAAGGCAGAGAACCCAGCAGCTATTGATCTAACAACAATATGATGAAACCAATTTCAAACCATAAAAATGGGAATTTCTCAATCAACCATAAGATTGTGCAACATTTAGCAGAACATATGAAATATATATTAATTTAATTAATCATTTCCATAAATAATCAATTGAGCAGAAAATTCTTGAAAAAAGAAACAAAACCCACTTTTCACCGTATATTTAAAATTCATCCAACTGCAGAAATCCTAAAAATAAAACCCCAGATTTCACGAGGAATATCATAACAAGAAAGTAACCTTATATTAATCAGCCTTTAAGGAGAATTCATAATGAAAATGATGGACTTAAGCATATACCTAACATAGCAACTAATTTATAGCATTTCTCGACAGCTACACTCTGTATTTTCAGTCTTTAAAAGAAAATGAATCAAAAACATGTTCGAACCAAAGGATTAAAAAAAGAAAAGGATTGAAGTGAAGAAAAAAAAAAAGAGAGAGAGAGCGAATACTAACCGAAACGCTGACGGGCAAAAGAATCCGAGTAAAAATGCTCCTGTACTTTGAAATCGAAGAGCTCCTCTCATTCAGCTAGCTGTTTTCTACCATGTTATATATGTATGTATAAGATTGACGTGGCATCAACTCTCAAGTCAAGTAATTGAAATTTGAAAGAATGAAAATTTTAATTTTTTTAATTTTTTTTTTTTTCAAAGAGTAAAAGAAAAAGTAGGTTTTGATATATTTGACTTAAGAGCAAGATTAACGTTATTGCTGGAGAGTATATTCGTCGCTCATTATTTTATATTTTATCACATTATTTTTTTATAATATTTATTTTTAATTAAGTATTTTTTTATTAAAATAATATTACACGCAAATTAAATTTTTTTTTTAACCACACATTCTCCATCAATCTATTATTTCATAATATATTTTTCAAAGTTAAAAGGACTCAAACACATCTTATATATTAATAACTACTATTCATATTTTCTTTACATTTTGTGGAATTTGCTGATTAAATTATAATCTAATCCTTGTTTGGTACATATTAAAATTTAGATTTTAACTTAAGTCAAAGTCAAATTTATTTCAATCATATATTTTATGTGTCCTACAAATTTTCAACCACACATTTCATCAACTATTCATATTTTCTTTACTCATTTTTTGGAATTTGATGATTGAATTATAATCTAATCAATATTTTAACAGCAAATTTAAAAAATGTGTAATTCATTTACTTTTACATACATAATAAAATTTTAGGAAGTAATTATGATTTAATTATTATTTCTCAAACAATATTTTTTTTAACTCATTTTGTAAGATCAATAATTTATAAATCACTTAAATTTAAATTAGCCATCATAGTGTTGTAACAATGTTATCGAGCAACAAGCTTAACTTTGGATTGTAACGAGATTTAGAAGCTTTTTGGTTTTAAAAAAAAAATTAATAAATTTTGATAAAGATATTTAAATGTATAATTGAAAAGTTGATAAAAGTTATAAATCACATAAAATGTATAGTTGAAAATAAATCTAAAGAAAAAATTTTTGAAAATGAAAACCAAATAAGAACTTAGTTTGTTAATAATACTCGAATGATCACACCTATACATAGTAAAATTTGAAATTATCCTAATTTATTATTAATAATATTATTATTATTTTTTATTTTTTTATTTTTTTTGTGATTTTAAAATTAATGAATTAGTTGAGTAGGCCTTGAAAAGCAAAGTGTTAGGTCCCACATAAGTACAATTATAGTTTTGATGGGCTAAAATACTTTTACCGGTAGGTAACGCTAGTTGGGTATCTGCATTACAAAAGTTACGACACGTGTCAGTGGATAAGACCAGGCACTATAATCTGATGACTTTATCTACGCGCAACAATTAAGAGGAAAAGAAATAGTCATTCATTATTTTTATTTTACAAATTATAAATATAATTTTAGTAATTTGGACCAATTCTGTTGATTTTGACCATTATCGTATCTGACCTTTGACCTGGTTGTTTCTATACTCTTCTAACAAGGAAATTCTTAGTCTTTGTTTGGAATGGTCTAAAATTTAATTAAAAAATTAAGTTAGCCCCTGTTTGACAACCATTATTTTACTACTTTTTTACGTACTCATTTTTAACACTCATTCACACAATAAAATATTTTACATGTAAACTCAAAATATATCTACTTTTCAACCACACATTCTCTTAAAAATCATCATTCAGAACATTGTTTTTGAGAAAAAATTGCCATGAAACAAGGGTATAAATTCCATAATTAATTTTAATCACAAATTTAATGAAAATCACAACTTTTCTACCACATGCTTCTTCAAATTCTATCAATGTTTTACTAAAAATTCGATTATAATATGCAGCAAGCAGAGCTTAATTGCTTACATCATTTGCAAGTGTCTTCGCGTTAATGAAAATTTTGTGTTTATTATCTAATTCAACATGCTAAGGTCCGTTTATTGGAAAACCTGTTTCTTGTAAAAAAAAAATCTGAATTAGTCCCCTTAAATCAGCATTTTCTTAGAAGTTATTTTTATCAAAGAAAGCACTTTTAAAAAATTATTCAAGCATATTCAAAAAGAGTTACTTGATCATGTTTGCGCCACATTATAATGAGAATGAGAATGAGAAATAGAGTCATTATGGACCCCACACCAGAGATAGAAATTCAAAAATGATGGCTTGATGTGATGAATAACGATCATATTTTTCATTTTAATGAAGTAAAAATGTGACTCAAACAGGGGCTTAATCTCAAAAGCAATTTTTAATTTTTCAAAAATCATGTAAAATGAACTGTAAACATATCAGAATTCTAAAATTCTAAGCAAGTTAGTTTCAAAATTAAGCAATCTACATTTTAGTAGCATTAAAATTTAATAATTTGTTTATTACTACCTCCAAACTATTGCATTACTTTCACTTCAATCTTTTTTTATTTATTGAATATGGTAACAAATGGACAAGAATTGAGTGTCATATTTGTTAAATCTTAAAATTAGAAACTTGAAGATTGAAACACAACATAAAAAACAATAAGGGGCAGACTGAATTAATGAATTGGCTAACATACAGAGTCAATATTAATCAAGAAATCACTTGGATATCTAAACGCTTAACAATTTAAGATTTAAGTATGAGATTCCTAATGTTACATAACCCAAAAGCAAAAGGATTCAAATTACAGTATCGAAATACACTAATGCGACGAATGCTGACCAGACGACACTAGATGGGATTAAGTGAGACGTAAATTTACGAGTTCTATAAATGTACACATGACGGAGCTAGGCTACGGAGATGACCCAACACAAATTATGGCTGTACATGAACTCTAATGGCATACAACTGAAAATTTAGGATCCATATTTTTTCTCCTACATGCTATGACACTTCTATTGGATGCTACAATTTACTTCAGGATCAGCTATGCTGTGCAATTTGGCATGTTGCACTGTGACCAGCAATGTGCGCAGCTTAGCATACAGAACTAATCGCCATTGCCTTATTTTCCTACTCGCTGCTTCCACGTGCTCTGCATTTCATGAAACCTGTATTAGAATGCAGAATTCATATGTTGAGTAATTAGACATCAAATGCACAGATAAAGTACAAGAGTCTCATCGTCAGAAAGTTCTAGGTTCATGGAACTAGAAGCTGGAATCTTCTTCTTGGGTTTATCTAAAGATGTTGGAAGACTATCCATACTATCAACTTCTTCAGTCTCTCGTTGTGGCTGCTGCTTGTCTGAAGAAGAAACTCCTCCGTTATCAGATCCTTCTATTCCTTCCGAATGAGTTTCTTCGTCCTTGGACTCTTCTGCATCACTAGAGCCCTTGTCCGCATCTTCCATTCGTTTCTTGTCATTGTCCAATTGGTCCATATCAGCTGAACTCTTTTCAACTCTTTCTTTCTGCTCCTGATCTGAATTGTCAGCAAACAATGAATCAGAGCTAGGCATTAACTCTTTAAGTGAAATGAGATGGTAAAAAAAAAAATGTGAAAAAATAACATTCCACCCATTCTCAAACAATTATGCTCCATGCAAAGAATGAAATAATGCTCACAGTTCAAATGGGGGAAAATAAAATCCATATGAGCAGGGAAGATTCTTTATGATTCCAGTATTCAGTAAATATATCAGTGTGTTCATGGACGGACTTCAGCAATCATGAAATTAAACAAAATATCAGTAGTGACAATGTTGCCTGCTATGAGGAGAGAAAAAACTCCCAGAGAAAAATGAACACCGAAACTGCAAGAGTGCAAGTGCTAATCCTTTTTCTTTTACCTCATGCGAGTATTCCAACATTTTTGTTATAGAATCATTCCATTATCATGGATGGTGATTCTGATCATATAAATAACCAAATGTCAAAAAGTATGACCCTTTACCTGAGTCAATGGACTTTGAGCCAGATTCGGTCAAAGCAACGCTAGGACTTCCAACCGTTTCGGTCGTGGTTTCCCTCCTTAACATACCCTTTTGTCTCTGCTTCATATTGTCCCTTGGAGTTCTTTTCCTTTTGACTTGGGATGACGGAGACCTATCAGTCCATTCAAGTACATAAGCTAATGAAAGAACAAAAGAATAAAAAATATTTCAAGTGAACAAAATTTGAAAAAGCAGTCTTACATTTCTGCCAATTTTTTCTTTTGCTTTGAGCCTCCTGTTGACTTCTTCTTCCGCTCAGATGATCTGTAAAGCTGAGAAATGAGAAAAATTTCCAAGCAGCTTTATACCATTTTGCAACAGCAATGACAGTTACAAAAAGTTAAGCACAGAAATACCATACATGAATATCCGTACAAAAGAATTTGTAGTTCCCTTTTACGACAACCATAAGAGAGACCATGTTTTGGAAGCACTCAGTTTCCAATACATGTTAGCTTTCAAGCATTCAGAAACAGAATTATAACTGGGTTGAAGAGAAGGGCAGATATATATTAAATAGCTTTTGAAGCAAATACTGGACAGTGAAACCTCATTCTTGATAACATTAAATTAAGCTCTGAATTAAATTAAAGAAGATGTATCCAGAAATTTTAGTAGTTCTAGAAGTTATACAGATTGAAAACACTTCATTAACGAATATATCAAGTATATGCAAGTAAATCTGTTTATCACCAGTCTTCAGCATGCTATACTATGTTTTTACATGGCTTACGTATATAGTTGGTGACATGATAACTGTTCTTGAAAGTAAATGAGGGCCATATCAGAAAGAGAAGAATAAAAGCTGCATGGGACTGTTTTATCGTCCAGCCAAGGGAAGTGCTGAGCAAGGCCGAATTTCAGCCACTAAAATTAGTATTTACTACAAAGATTGTCTAGAGCACAAGGATATCAGGAAGAAATGCATGCAAAGAAACCAAAATTCAAAATGATGGGGAATCAAAGGCCTTCAGATTATCATGATGCCAGAAATAGTTGGTTGTCATAGCTAGAGCTCCAGAGCAGGGCACTTCGAATTACTGCTCCACAAATACAAGCTATTAAAACATAGAGCAACTGATTTTCTGTTTCTTCAGAACGCCACCACGCACATGGGTGCAGGTTCCTGTACTTTTTCCATTTG